AAGAGCGCTGAACAGGCCAACAACGAATGTGACGAAACGTTGTGGGATGCTGGAAGCGTTAGCAGAGCCAACATAGCTGCTTAAAAAAAAACGTAAGCTACACGAAGGGCATGACGTCACAGAGGGTGCTCCATGAGTTTGCGATGAGCCTTTCCAATTTTTTCTTATATAAAGGGTGGAATTTTGAACAGAGAACTATCCGATAATGCTGCTTTATTTCCAGGAAATATCATGTATTTTCCCTGGAATAAAGCTGCATTATCGGATAGTTCTCTGTTCAAAAATTCACCCTAAATCTTTTCAGGAGTCAGAGGTCTGTCAATCTGTGGGACGTTCTATGGCCCCTAAAATTTGGATATTCTTAATCCGGGTAGTTGATAGGTCAGTGAGTAAGTGGAGTTCACTCTGCAATCCCTCAGGGTTTCTATCGTCGGTCTTTCGAAGATTTTCATCGTTTTGGAGGAAATCGCGAGGAGTAGAGTGGTGAAACTGGGCTTGGTTCGGTTTTTTTGTTCGAAAGTGTTCATTAGTGTATCCGGAATCATTGGGGAGGTTCGGGAAATTTTGCGACAAAATTTGGCAGCGACGCATCGCTGAGACAAAATATAAGTGCCAATAAATTTGATTTAAAAACGTCATGTGATAATGCCATAGTGAAAGTGAAAGTTTTAGGTAAGAAAAATGAAGTTGCAGGCCGTCTGGAGACTGAATATCGGCGGCAATTCACGGCTCGTTGAAAGGGCACGATGGTAAAATAATGCAATTGAAAAATGTTGTCTCCATGCTATTGGCGACAGAACTCGACTTACGGAAAGGCCTGTCGTGTGATAACAATCTCGACCCACGGTGTGCCGGTATTTAAGCCAATACTAGGTGGCGTAACACACACCACGTATACCTTATCTTTTCTCTCGTCCTCGTGAAAACGATCAAGTTCAAGCTACCGGAGTACACACAGCAGCCGTTCGACTAGGAGGCCTCGAAATTGCAATATGCCGTAAAGCTGACGTCTTTCTTGCCACCAAAAGTCTGACTGGTGGCTCATGCTATAGGGTAGGCAAGTGACGTAGCCAGGGAAGGGGGCTGTATCGCAATCGGATGGGCCGAAGTGGAGCGCTCTGACTTCCAAGTATAGAGGGCGCCCTAAGCGAATCTAGTTATCTCGGGACAAGTCAAGCCTGAGCTGAGAGAGTCGTTCGTTTACATGTCGCCAGGAGAGCAGACCTGGCAATCTTCGCTCTGCCACTTCAACATGTTGGGTTTCGTCTGTTTGAGGCCTGTTACCGAATTCCCGTTTTTTTTTTCTTCACCGTCACTTCTTATTGCAACCTGTCGTTCGTCGAGTCGTGAGCCTTTGGAGTGGGATATGTTTATTCCCTTCTTTCCTGCAACTATCATTGCTCTGAATTGCTTCTTAGCTATTAATTTAAAGCTTATTAAAGGTGTCAGTAGTGCTCTTATATATTTCTTTAGAAGTTAGTTTCCCGATTGGCAGAAACGAAGAATTTTAATTCCACCATCAACTGGCCATTGGTTCGGTTCCGGACCAATTGTCTCTGAATCGTCCCTCTCTGCACCTCCCATTTCTCAAGTTTTCGTACCAGACCTTACGGAAAGCACGAGTTTTCTCTCCGTCTTTTCCCAAAATTTGGAGATCTGGCGTGGGCCTTCCGTTCTCGCGAATTTCTCAATATTTTCATCACTTCTTGAAGAAAAACGGTCTAAGTCGGCAATGATGTCTCCCGTTTCTATCATTTTGCGTTTTCGAAGCCTATAATACGGTACAAAAATGACTTCTTATCACATTCAGACTTATATTGTTATATAATGTATGATATAGCTATATTAATGCAATATTTAAAAATATATAAAGTGCTCGCAGATATGATTGGTTTGAGAAACATGAAATCGGCTTCACGAACCTCATTGCATAAATCACTGCCAGGGGGAAGTCTGGGGCAGGAGAAAGAAAAGTTTTGGAAGAGTGAGATCTGAAGGAATAAAAGACGTGGTGCTGATAAAACAGTTGAACGAGACTGAAAAACTAGCTTTGCAGGATTCTAATTTCATCACAGTGGAAGGAGTAGGGCGTGGAAGAACATCTGGCAATGCTGCATAGATTTGGCAACGTAGCACTCAGGCCTCCTCTCCGGCTTAAGTCTCCCTCAGTTCACTTCGCTGCGAGACTGCCCTTTCCCCCTCAACTCCCCCCATCCCGCTCCCAGTGAATTGGAGCAGGTAAGGCCAGGGAGAGGCTGGCATAGGTTGGAACTGCGCATGCTAAGACTTACCTGCGAGAGGGGGGAAGCCTGGGCCCAGCAGTCCTGAAGCAGACAGCATTATTTCACCCTTTTCTTATGGCTTTACTCGTTTCCAGTACTTCGCCAAATTTCCTGACTCTCACGAGCAGTGGCGGCTCGTGGGTAAAAAAATTGGGTAGGCAGTAGTGGTGCAAAAAAAAGTGGGAGGGGGGGTCGGTCACCCCCAATGATTCCTTTGCACCCATATGATCCCCATTTCTATCTCTATTGACCAATGGAGCGTCCTCCTATGATAGTAGCAGGCACATTCGCTCCTCTCTCAACCTCGCTCAGCATCCCCTCCTCCACCCACCACTCTCCAGTCTCTTCTGAGGCCCCCCCTCCCCCCCCCTGGCTACAGGCTTGGTTTAGAATTTTTCCATTCAAAAATTGTAAATCCAATTCTAACATAATCGGAACTATCCATCAAGGAAATTACTTGCATCTAAAAGGAAAAGTGTCGAAGATTTAAACCTTCAATGAATGTAACCATTGCAATCATTGGAAGACACCCGAGGGATGCGAAGCACTGTCAGTTTAACAACACATATCACTTGGTAACAGTGCCTCTTCCTGAGAGAGCAACGAATGCGAGAACTGAGACTGACAGAAGCCTGTTCGGAATGATTCCTTATTCATTCTGCATAATACTGTGGAATAGGTCTGATCAGGTGTGACAACCACAGAGGCTACTACAAGCACGTGCTTTCTCTGAGCAGAAGGCGTGAGCAAGCGATTCTCAACCTTCCTTCCTGCGCAAGGAGTAACAGCGCACCGTAGGCAAGCCTACCCTCACTCATTCCGGTGTTGTGGTTCTCTTCCCTTTCTCCCTCCTCTCGTTCCTGCATTGGACTCGTGGGAATTCGAGCCTAGCCAGCGTAGGCAGGCAGCGCCGTGCCTACTCTGGATGCATTACCTTGTTTTGCTATTACCTCGCATTGGAAAAAAGTATTTCCAGTTGTGCTAATCAATGAATTAATAAGAGAATATTAATTTGAGAACTCTGATTTTAAACTGGGTAGGCACTGCCTACCCTAACGAGCCGCCACTGCTCACGAGCAAGCCCAAATATTATTCTGACCAGAGGCATTCCGAAACGTTGTCATTTAGAAGTTAAGATGGAGTAAAAATTACTTAAATTCACGGTATCTCTCGGTGCCCTCTTGTCTGGCCCTGTTTAGGCCAGACTTAATGTGCCCACCCTAAAGAGCCGCCACTGGTTTGAGTGATCCAAGATGGATCACTTTATTGCTGTAAAGCGAGCCAGCATTCAAGATGCCTGTATCGAGGTCACCGTGGAGGAGATCCGCAAGTCCCATCACTTAACGACGCATTAAGCATCATTTCGGATGAGGCATGTTATGAAAATGAAACAGCTGCTGTGTGTGTACTCTGATAGAAGTTCATAATTTTAATGGTTGTCGAGGGGAAAGTTGTATTTGGCTATGTATATGGTATGATTTGTACACCTCTGCCTCATAATGGATATTGAGAAATAAATGCAAGTATCTCGGCCAATTTTTTGTGCGCCGGTAAATCGCATTTTTTCGGAGTTGCTCACC